GTAGGCAAGATATTCATTTGGTCCTACTGGGGATGCCCAGAGTTCAGAGGGTAACTGTTGCAGAGCTTCGGATAGCGTCATGATAAATACTAAGGGAGATAGAGGGTATCTCTGTCTAACACCTCGTTCCGGATGGAGGTGAACATCGTTGAAAGTGGAAGTAGCTGAGGAGTGGTAGGAAGCAAGGTAATCCAGTGGCAGAGGGGGTGCGTCAAAAGCAGAGGCCGCGCGTAATAAGAACTGATGAGAAATAGAATCTAAGGCTTTGGAAAAATCAATTGAAGCAAGGGAAAGTAGTGAGTATGAAGAATGAGCGTGTCGCAGAGCTGCGTGCATTAACCAGGTGCTTCAAGTCATCCATCCGTACGTAGGAAGCCGAATTGTAGACAATTGGAAGAAAAAGTGGAAACCCAGCGGTCCAACAGGATTCGACAAAGAAGACGAGCAAGGACAGAATTGTCGGAAATAGACCGAAATTACTCAGGAGAAGAGGGTGCATCTGCCTTGGGAACAAAAGTGATCCGTGCTTTATTCATGTGTGAAGGCCGAAAAAGCAAGGAGAGCGTTGAGAAACGCATTTACAATAACGGGTCCATCATCAATACATCCCGTGATGTGACACGGCAAACCCCCAAGTGCGGAGCCTTGCATCTGACGAATTGCTGCCCGCAGCTCCTCTTGAGTGATGGGTCTCACCAAATCCGGGTTAGTGGGGATGATATTGCGAGGTGGACGGTCGTCATGTACTGGAGGCTGAGAAATGACTTTTGTCCAGAAGTCCGTAAAACCAGGGATACGGTCGTCTTCTTGCAGGAAAGCCCATCTGCCATCAATAACAGCTGCTGCCGCATCTTTACACCTCGTATGATAGAGACGTTGGATGTGGCCGTATTGTAGACGTCGGCATTGCTAATTGTTCTTAAAGACTGGCGGTACCTATTTTCGTTGCGTCCGCGCCCACCTACAGGGGAATAGGCTGATACATGCGGCATTAAGCTCCTTACTATACTGCTCCCGCGAGATGTCATCCGGTAGGGAAAGCAGCATGTTGAGAAGCAGGGAATTTGGTTCGTTATTGGCAGATTTGCACCCACGCGCCAATCGTTGAGCCTCCGCGAGCAGAAGGCGGAATGGGGCTGTGTCATCGACCATCTGTGTGGTAGAATGCGAAATGGAGACTGCGGAAAGGGAGGGAGGATTGATCAAGTCAGCAGGAGCACTGAGAGGCAAAAGTGTGGACATGGGCCTTGGCCCCGATTGGTAGTTTAGTCTATTGTCCGCGTTTAAGGACGAATCCTCTCGCCTCAAAACAAGGTCCTCCAGAGTGCTTTGTGATGCATCCAGGTCCACGTGAAGTAGACAGAACCCAGTCAGGATGTTGGGGTTGGCTTTCTGTATTGTGGATGAAGCAACTGTTGCAGCGGAAGTATTATTGTATGTATTAAATCGATCAATCCTTTTCGTCGGTGGTGGGGTGCTGGCGGTATGGATGTCTTCGGTTGCCATATTCCGGGTAAGTTGTATTAGGGAGTCATCTGATGTCAAGAATAACGAGGTCAAGAGTGTACACCGGCGTGGCTGCAGCGGTGAAAGCGAGTACAGTTGCATAAGTACCCGAGCGAGTGAAAAGAGAGACTGTACACACTACACACGCCAATCAGCACAGTGACAACCGATGCGCTGCAGACGTTTCCTTATGCCCTCCTTCGTCCGCGATGGGAATGCTGTCTGTAATTTGTGAAGTAAAGTAACGAGTTTAGGGCAGGATCTAGCAAGGTTTGAGGCGGCTTTACTTAGCTGTCTAGCTTCCCTGGCCGACCAAGAAAGGATGGTGCAAGATGTCGTGCTAAACAGTCTGCTTTGTATTGGACGGAAAGTCGATGTCGTCGGTGTGGTGATAGGCCCCTTTGCGAAGCAAAGGAACATCGTCAGGTATGGCAAATGAAATCGTGGAAATTGGCTGGGGCTGCAGAAGCCAGAAAGACTGTTGGATTCCTTCGGTGGACGGAGAGATGTCTCAGGAGACCACTGCGTGTCTTAAAGGTCCGAGGGCATAGATCGCAAGTTTTAAGTTGTGTTACGGTGGAAACCGGTAGCGTGGGTGGCAAATGGTTCGCGCGAAAAGAAACTGGATGATACGATTCCATTGCCTGGTAAGTAAGCAGTTGCGAGGAGGGACGAGGAAGAAAGATATATGGAAGTGATGTCACTATGCGTGTGGGGGATGGTGACATAGGGGATCGGTTCTGCGGGCTGGATTCGGATACAGCAGAGGCTGATCCGTTTGCAACGTTGGTATAGTATCCCACAGTTCCGCCTAGTCATAACTAACTGTTGACGAGTGGCAGGTGGTGGCTTTCCGCCGTCTAGGCTGAGATAGCTGTGTAGGCCGGTGATTCCATTTTAGGAGTTGTAGCTTTCTCGTGATGGCTGCCTCCGTCCTCTTCGGAATCCGGTATGTAAGCTGTGTCACCAGTGTCCTCCGAGTCCGTACATGGGCGTTCATCTCCGTCGCCACTCTAAGGAATTCCTCGTCCTATTGCTGGGTTCACCCTTCTAGCCGTACTGCTAATCCTGACCTTAACATCTCCAGGTATTCGTTAGGGTGCAGTCGCCGCAAATGCCGTAGTAAAACGGCCCGGGATTGGTAATCCCGTGGACAATGGGAACAGCCGTGGCAGTAGGAAGATGATGGCGTGGTCAACCCAAAACGTACTGTATTTCAACGTCAGTAAATGCAACGAACTTTCCATCCGACATCAGAGTAGCTACTCATACCGGCTCAGTGCGAATTTACTGCAACAATCAACCCTCGAACATGACTTGGGTGTCGTGGTTCAAGCTGACTTGGGTTGCGCCAGGCAATCTGAAAAGCCTCCAAGACTGAAAACCAACACATGGGGCTGTTGTGACGGGCGGTTGAACAAATAAACAGCTCCATATTTTGAAAATACTTAGTGCGCATGTTTTCCTCATGTTGAATACGCAATACAAGACTAGCGTACATGCATGTAATACGACCTTAATGCGCTGGAAACAACACAACATCGGATATCTAAGAACGTAACTGAAATGCGCACTCTTTCATACCAAGTGAGGCTGCAAAGATTAAGGGTTGTAATGAAATCTGTCGCAGATTGAGAGGCGACCTGATTATGGTCTTCTTGATTCTGCGAGACCCGCATCTTGTATGCCACATTTTACTGCAATTCAGCACCAATACAAACCTGTGGGGACACTCACTGAAATTCGCAGAACAGTATAGCCGCCTAGCGCGCCACAGAAATTTCTTTCTTATTAGTGTCTGCCACCCGTGGAGTGCTCTGCCAGAATCGGTCGTCTCTACACGAACACTAACAGTACGTAAAAGGCGGCTGGATGATGCACTCCTCCACTTAGACTTTGTCACTTATCACTACGTCTCCAACCTACACCTGGTGTTTAGCATGGAATTATTTGATGTTAATTGCGGGTGCTGTGAAGCTAAGGGGATTGCAAGACTACAGCGGAGCAAACGATAAGTTCTTATTTCCATATGTGAAGTATTAACTGTTTTACTATTATTTTTATCATTATTGATATTTCGATCTCCCCACCAGCTATCCAACGGGACTTGTAAAACAACTCTACTTAACCCACATAAATTTATTATTCATTTACGGCGTAGTTGGAGGCGCTTTGAAAAGGAATGGAACTTTGGAAACCATCCGAAAGGTGTTTAACGAAGATAAATTGAGGGCTTTTTCCGGAAGTGCCGACCGATTTGTTTGAAACTCGTATACCTAAAAGCTATACCTACCTAGAATATGTCCTTACAAAACAGTTACAATATTGGTAGCAAAGCTGCGCAAACGTTTTCTTACGCCAAAACGCAAGGGAGATAAGTACAAATATGTCAGAAAACATGTGGCGCGTAGCACGGTTGCTGAGGAACGAACTTGAATACAAGACCATACAGAGATTCGGCAAGTCATGAGATTGACTTGGATAACATCGTGATGGTTAGAAATGTTTTTGAAGGAAGCAACAAATGCAGGCGGCCTTGAATGTTAATAACATAAGCACAAACAGCTGCGTGAACAAAGTGGATGGGATGGGGTATTAAAAGTTGTGTCGGGTTGCTTTAATCCGACTGGTCTGATGATGATCGGCGGATAGATACTGAACAGAGGATTTGTACCAAATCAGCACCAAAATCATAACTGAGAATGGCTTCTGTGAGTAACCTTATAATGCGACCTAATTAAGAGTTTCCGTGTGTCAATTGAAGTAACACTGCGTAAAATAAGACGTTCGAAGTTCCACCTGAATTCAAGTAGTAGCGATTAGCTTCCCAGTTTGCTATAAATGCCATACCAAACATCCGCCGGTGAATCGACCTGACAAAGCCTTTGTGTAAAAAACGAAAGGAAACGGCCTTACGATAACCATCGGTTGTTTTTAAAACAAGTATGAAATCATGAGTTGTAGATCCGTTCCAAAGATTTCCTACATGTTGGAACTGTATACGCTTTAGTATTCTAATATTTTGCCCATATATACACAGCGGAATGAAACATTATAAATCTGGTCCGTCGATTTTGTTTCGTGAATGTGATTTTTTATGTATAAAAACATGTAATATATATAACATCATAAAATACCATATATATTTATAGGTGTTTCCCTTTCTTGAACATTAACTCACGAACAAATTTCGCAAAATTTAGCCATTATCCCCTTCATTTCACCGCCATTAGATTTAGCTTGTTGATGGCAATAACCGTATTCATTTGAAGAGAGCTAAGCATATTTGACTTGTTTAAAAATTTAACTCCAGACTTTAGCTGCATACTGCCTAAATTCTCGCCCAGTAAAAATGTGTTGCATAGTAATTCACAAAAGCTGCTACCAAAATTGCGGCGTTTGACATCAGATGGGAAATATAGTATCCTAACTGTTATATCAGCGCATAGCTCGCCTATTTAACTTTATAGACAAAATCAAATTTCAGTACTTACTTTTCCAGACATCAGCATCCGGATAACCAAGATCAAGGACTGTTCATTGTCACAATCTGTGTTCAAGTCAGTTTGCTTCGGACAGACTCCATCATCTACAGCACAATGAAGCTCGTAACTATTCTCAGAATGCGGCCTGTTTACATTGCTTGATCCATAGAGTTGCAGCATTGATTCTGCATCATTGGTCGCTGCAGTTGAGTTTGTCATGCGCAGTATTCGCTGTTGTTTGGTTAAGTTTACGATATCCAACAGAGTACCGGCGCTTGGTGTGCTACAATAGCCCGGGTACCTGCATACCCATGTAGGGAGAGGAGGGTGTCTGAAACGTAAGGCATCCGCAATGTTAAAGTTTGCCATCCCATTCGCATTGAAGAACACACTTTGTGCCGGCGTCGAAGGGAGGAATTGCGAAGGATTTGCAGTAACGCTATTTGCCACGATAAACACATTGGCTTGTGCGTCAGATGAGTTACTAGGAAGACTTAACTGTACCTCACTGGAAATATTGCTCGAAACATAGTTCGGTAGGCCGTAAATGCTATCATGTTGTAATTCGTTAGCAGTCTGCATTCGCTGCAGTGACCTTTGCTCCGGTGCTGCTGGCTGCTGGCAAGCATGAAATACACTTGTAAGTGCCATAATTCAAAACCGTGTAGTACGCAAATCTTGACCTTTACTTTTGCAACGCCAATCAACCATCCCTGCGATGAAGAAAAAAGTTAAACGACCGTTGACATTGGCTTAAGACAATGAATTGTTATCTAAATTACTTGGAAAAATAAATTAACTCCGATTCTTCAGAAACACCAAAGAGATAATTAATAACTTCTGACATCTCATAATGTTAAAATAAACTACTACATAGAAGTAAGGTTATAGGCACATACTTTTGCAATTTTTAACGATAAATGCTTAAAACTAGTAAATGTTTTGAATTGATATGACAAGATTAGCAACACATTCTATTAACTTTGGTTTTTAGCTCTATTTTTAGTTACAAATCTCAAGTTTAAAATACTGCACTAACAGCAATATTAATCATTGTCAAAAGCATGCCGTTAACTCAAGTAATCCTATTGTGTCCGCTCTGTAAACTTTCTTGTCCTTAGTGCTCAACGTGTGGTTAACTATTCATAATTCCCTTGATTCTTAAGTTTACCTTTCATACCGGATCTACCGGACTTGTTTAAAATATGAACAGCTGCCAAACGCTATAGCATCTCATTAATGCTGAATGCTGGAAGGTTTATGATCCTTTTCTGGCAATTCACTTTCTTCCCTACTGCAAACAAGTAAGCAAGAATTAATCAAACATTAAGTCCTCTTCTGCTTTTAAATGCATTCTAAAAGTTTACATTTTTATTAAATGATAAGTGCGTTTAAAGGGCTTGGTTATAAGGCTTGACATGAGAACAAAACTCAAAGTATCGCTATCCATCACTGTGCATCAGTAATAAACTTCTCATTTGACTTACTTTGATTAACTGATTTAACTAAAAAGTGGAACAATCTAATTTAAAATGCGTAAGATGAGAAGATGTTGGTTTTGATTGCAAAGCCGGTATCTTACTACGTTTTGTCTAGACGGTTTACTCTTCGTTTATGTATATGTATAGCGCATAATAGGCCGTTAAGGGCCACGATAAATATAGCCTCATGTCTCCAAATCTAGTAAGCAAAATCTAAGCGCTACTGTTTATTGCCAATAAAACGCTGGTTTTAAAATTGCGCAACTTGTGTTTTTGACAGCGCGCTCTCTATAAAGGCTTTAAATAGAAGAATATAGCAAAGATAGATACTTTCAAAGTATACAGTAATAATAAGCAGAAGTTGACATAAAATCTCGGTATGAACTAAAGTATCTAATTTCAAGCATTTTAAAAGCAAACATATTACGAATGGTATCCAAGTTATAATGGATGCGTTGCAGCAAAAACGGGAAACGTAGTACTCTGATTCATAAGACTTTTGCTGAACACTAAATGGTTAGTTATATTGGATAGAAAACTCACATATGTTTACATTTATATAGCAGTTTTGTTCGAAAATGTGAAATGTAAGTTGTATCATTGTATATTTGAAAGTACGCCACATACTGATTGCATGCTTTTACAGACAATAGATAATTCTCATTGCTGAGTAACAATTGCGTATTACAACATAAAGGTGACATACGAAATTCAATTCAATTATAGTTACCAAAGTGCATTCCGTCTTTATATCCCGCAATTGCTCGCCATTTATTTAGGCTAGTTCTCATTGTTTTGAGTTTTGCCAGCTTGGTATCATGTCATTATCTCATAAACACACATTATTAACCATTTACCTTTAACCTATATTTGTCATTCCGCCGGAAACTTTACAAAACATGTAGCGTTTATTATGCATCAGCACACAAATCCTTCCAACATGTAGTATTCTTTTAATCTAACAGCATACCTATTCCTTGATGCTATTTTGTCTGCAGTGGCAAGCAGCTACCATATTGGTAGACTAGTCTACACCTGTGTGAGACTAAAAATAAGTCTGTGTGACAGGTCTGTTTAATAAATTCAAAAGGTTTAACAAAAATCTAGACTAAAACATTTATTATTAATAATATACCGTCGTTTAGAACCGATTACAATGCATGGTAGCAAGACAAATTTTGGCAGGTATGCAAACATCATGCAACCGGCGTAGTACCGACAAACAGTTCTGACCAAGTTGCTGCACTGTTCACGGAAATTCATCATATTCCTTGACCGTCTGAACTAGATCTCACTTTGGAAATTAATGTATTCGGTCTAACGTTGTAGTTTAACACGAAGTTTCGTCAAATGTCGCTTCCGACTGCAACGTCTGTTGCGTTAAACGACATTGCTTCGCAAAGCGTCTACGTGTAGTCAAAAATTTCTTCTGCTCAATCGTCCAATACTACTCACTCGCTGTTGTTCACCAACCAGCACCATAAACACGGGAAACGCAAACTCATTTGGTACGCAACCGACAATCTCAGTGCTATTCAAAGTGCAGTACTAAAAACCATAACTTTTTATACGAACGCATCTTTAAAGAATATTAGTAACAACTCATCACAACCTAGGATAGGTGTGATACCCTGCAGAACCGAAACAATGCTAATTCAAAAGTTGCACCAAAACATGTTACCCTTAGAACCCTAGGGCTCATCGTTATATTCCGTAAAAATGTATCGCTAGATTATGTTATTTATGACATCCATAAACTCCACATCGCTTGTGAGCAATCTCTATATAGCAGAGAAAACTTCGATAATTCAACCTCCCCGCAGACACTTCAACATATGAATTCCACTGACTACCGGTAAGTTACATGTGACAAAGCTGCTGCTTTATGAGGAGTCGAAATTCTCTCCACATTTTGCTTTTCCGACAAATGTTGAGATTATGTGTCTTTTAACCCTTATAAGCCTTAACTGACACAAATTCTACCACCCCAAATTTTGTATTCTAAATAACACCATGCTGTTGCCCCTCTTAGAATTCCTGTAGGCTCCCTAAAACGAGTACGGAATACTTCAAATACGCTCAAAAAATTAACTTTTATTATTGGAGAAAATTCAATTTCTGCGTAAGATTGTTCGCCTTTCTACTATTCATCTAATGCGTATGATAAAACATGATGATCAGTGTAGCCAACAAGAACAATGCTTGGAATAGTGGTACATACCATCTTTCATAATGACCTCCTTACTAATAGAATTAGGGTTAATTATTTAAAGGCACATGACCGGTTGTACTTCTGCCTGAACACTCCCTCGGAAATTTGTGTTTCGGTGTAGATTAGTACTTCTGTTTGTCCAACAATCCTTTTCATATGTGGTATTTACGGCCACCCACATCATATCCAGTCATCGTGACCAATAATCTGATAAAGACGTTTTTATTGTTCTCAATCATTTATTTTCAAATAAAAATGTTGTCAGCGAGTTCAGTATGCTCGGACGCCTATTGTCCCATAAGTGTAAGGTAACAAAACGTAAAATTTTGTGTCTACGCTTGGTCCACTGGGGGCAGTGCAGCAGTACTGATTTGGTAACCAACTCGGCAGAAAGTGTACGTGGTCATCCGAAAACCGGCTCCAGGCCAAGATGACGAAAAGCAAGTATTGTGGATACGCCATCAGTTTACCCATTAATGTTGACTTGCGAACCATCAATAGCAACGTGCTCCCCATGGAAGTCACCTCAATGTAAAAGTCTAGGAGGCACGTGGATGCTCGAAGCAGGACGAAAAGGAACCCAAGAAGAGCCAGCAAGTATTTTGAAGTTTTACGAAGTGCTTTCAAAAAGCTCAAGCAATCAGCCTCCTGTAAATGCTAAACGACCTTGCGAGGCCCCAGCTCGGTCTTCCAGAACTCCAGCTCAGTGATGTTATACGTTGATCTCCAAAACTACAGCGATCGAACTTATGAGGGGGTTGTCTTATATTCTTTACCTACACAGAATGATAACTGTGGGATTTTGCAATGCTTAACATCGAGGACAGCGAGAAGAATTCATCAAGTTTTACCTCATACTGAGGAATCAAAATTTCGCAATTGCGACTGGATGCAACTGAGCCAAGATGCTAAACTGAGAGGATAACAGCTTAAATTTGTAACGCTCTACGCTCAACGTGATTGCCGGCAATATGTTTTCCTGCAGGTGTTCCGAATAGTAGACAAATTTTGACTAACCATATTTGCCCTTACCTTCAAAGTTAATGAAAAGCCTTGATCACACGCATCCCCACTTACATTAATTAATATAGTCCGTTGTATTTCGGGGATAAATTTAACACGAACCATTCTTTTAGCTCTTCGCCCCCTCCACGGCTAAGTTTGAGCTAATCTGCATGTGTTCTTGTGAATAAATTGGATTTAACCGAAATGGGTTTTATTGTCACACTGGCCAGCTAAGGCGGAGTATATATGAAATTCAACCTTAATTTTTTTAATTTTTCCCAGAGTAGTGAAATATGAATGCTTCCTAATTTATTATGTGTTTGTGAGTACATTTCCCGTTTCAAGTTAGTGTTATACAGCAATGCAGTAAAATCGATAATCACCTTAACCGCCCATTCACTTATGCTATAATTCAGTTAAATTGAACTCCAAGCTTCCAATGGAATTTAACGAACATCTGTTTTTTACTGTAAATATAAGTGTTTACTATTTATTTTCCAATTTTTTCGCTGTATAACACATTATTCCAAGAATTTTAGCAGAGTAAAATGAACTTTGTTAATTTATCGTTAATACAGTATACAATCCGCTACAAATATCCTAGTGATTGTTTCGCAGGTTGTTTGAATCACCGTCTCCTGAGTGGCTAAAGTAAACCTGAAAATAAAATGCATACAGAGCCAAAGAAAATATCTGACGGGTGTAAATAACATTCCCGCTATTATGCCTCAGATAGAAGTGACAGGTTTTTCTGTACAGTAATTGTATCCACCTATATCTCTTAAGTACATGAGTAATCCTCATCACGTGACAGTGGACAAAACCACTTGTCGCATAATTACTAGATCATATTTCTTAGTTAAATTTTAATACACGCTGGAAAGGTATTGCACAATGCTTGCACTTTTACTCGTGCAAGTTCATTACTTGCATCACCGCAGGGAATCCACAATGTACTATGTCATTTGCATTGATACTATATAATTATATAAACCAAATCTATAAATTGTCAGTG